TAAAATTGAAGATAGTTTTATTGACTTTTCCTTCTCTCTCGAACAACGTATTCTGAGCATTAGTGCTACTAAAGCACTAAGACGATAAGACGTAGAGACGATACACACACTCTCTCTCTCTCTCTCTCTCTCTCTCTCTCTTTCTCTCTCTCTCCCTTTCTCTCTCGGAATAAAACGAAGCTAATCGCGAACGAATTTGGTCTCGTTTACATCATTGTGTTCGTTCGAATCTGTTCTTCTTTATAATTGGCCAATCATCATCATTATCACAATATCTTGCGATTTTGCGTGAACGGCGTTCGAAATAAATTACAAAAAAGAAAAAAAAAACAGAAAAGAACATAATCACTTCGGAAGAAAGAGGGACACAGAATTCGGAGTACGTCGAGTATACGTTTAGTAAAAAATAAGGAAAAGGGAACATGAATGATCTTTCTTCTACGTCAATGATCATCCGAGATTTTTCATGGTTTTTTTCCTCTCCTCTTCTCTCTCTCTCTCTCACCCTCACTCTATCTCACTCTCACTCTACCTCCGTCTATCTATTTGTCTCTCTCCCTCTTTCCTCCATCGTTCGGAGATCAGAAAGCGAAAAGCGCGGATACGTAAGCCAAATCGCAACGTTTGTTAAGTCTGCTGTCTCTGCGTGTATGCGTGTGTGTGTATATACATATATATATATATATATATATATATATATATATATATATGCACATCTCTTTCCCTTTCTCTCTCTTTCTCTCTCGCTTTGTCATGTTTTTAAAATAAACAACAACAAAAAAAAGAAAAAAGAAAGAAGCAACGTGAAATACGAGAAAGTGACAATTCGCCGGAAGTCGAAGGAACGTCAAAAGAAAAAAAAAAAAAAATTGAAAAAGAAAGAAAAATGGATTTCTCGCTTTTCTCCATTCCGACAATAAAGCTCGTTCTCGAAGCTAATCGCTAATTGCAGGAATATCATCATCGAGAAAAGCTTACAATTCTCGATGAAAATGTAAAAGAGAAGAAGAGAGAGAGAGGGGGAGAGAGAGAGGGAGGGAGAGAGAGAGAGAGAGAGAAAAAGAAACAAAAACGAAAAACAAGAAAAGAAAAGAAGTGAAAACAAAATATCGATCAATTATTTCCAAATTTTTCCATATACACATATACATTCCCGAATGAAACGAGTTTCAATCAATTACATTTGTTTCGTATCCTTTTTTTCTTTCAATGTTTTTATTTTATTTGTCGGCTAAGCTCGAAAAAAAAAGGCTCGAGCTTTCATCGTTATTTATTTATTCACTCATTCATTCATCCATTTATTTATTTATTTATTTATTTATTTATTCAATTATTCATTTATTTATTTATATTTCTCGTTTTGTTTCGTTCAATCTTTTATATTTTCCCATTTCTCTGATCGTAATTTAACATATTCCTTTAATTTTCTATCCGTCACATAATAACGAGTTTCCAACAAAAATATAAACGATAATATTTTCCCTTCGATCATCACAAATCAATTGTTATTAGCAATAAAACTTGCTACGTACGTACGAAACAATTTTTCCCTTTTTAAATATAATCCTTTTTCTCTTTTCTTTTCCCCCTTTTTCTCTCTTTTCTTTTTTTCTTTTTGTTTTTTCTTTTTTTTTTTGTCCCCTTTTTTTCTCTTTTTTTTCTTTTTCTCTTTAGTTACGTTTTTTTTAGTTCGTTTTTTATCCAGGAGATCGGCGAGAGAGAAATATATGCATTTAACTGCACTTAACTGATAAGTACGTTGCCCTCAATCGATTTTCCACACTTTCTCGTTTTGCAATAACAACAACAACAACATCAACAACAACGATCGAATATCTCTTTCTTTTTTCTTTTCCCTCCCCCTCCTCTCTCTTTCTCTCTCTCTCTCCTATTCTCTTGGGAACGACTTTCATACACATATAGACAACAGAGACGATCTAAAAGAGTTGGGTCGCGTCTTAAGATCTATAGACTTACGATCTAAACGAAATAAAGATTTAATCGTGCATTTATGTGCATTTTCAAAAAAGAAAACAATCTTTTATTCGCAAACATTCGCACACACACATACACATGTATACGCACATACGCACACTATTTATCTCTCTCTTTCTCTCTCTCTCTCTCTCTCTCTCTCTCTCTCTCTCTCTCTTTTCTTGTCTCTGTCTATCTATCTTTTTTTTCGCAACATACAAACCCTTTCTTATCCTCGTAAGACGCGTAGAAAAGGGCGAAAATCTCGAGAGAATTCGTCGGGAACTCGTCGCAAAAGTTCGATGATCGGAAATCGTCCGGCACGGATTTACTTTACGAAACTGAACGAACTTGATCACGTTTAATGTGATTTTAAATTCGATCGATTCGTTTACGAAAACGTTACGTTCTACGTTTATACAAGTGTAAATCCATGGGCCGACTTTTTATTCTATTTTTAAGATACATATACATATGCATATTTATATATATATATATACATATACATAAACATATATGTATACATATATATATGTATATATATGTGTGTATATATATATATATATATATATATATATACACATATATATATATAGTCTTGCGAGTGACACCTGAACGATCAGGGAGAAGATAATTAACGCTAAGAGACCATCCACCCTTCCGACGTACAATTATAATCCGATCTCAATAAACGAAATCAATCGACTTTCGAATGTCGTCAGAGATCTCTTTTCTCGTGTTTGCTTGTAGAAAAACAAATGACAAAAAATAAAGTAAAAAAAAAAAAAAAAGAAAAAGAAAAGAAAAGAAAGTAAGAAAAAAAAATGAAAATAAAAAAGAGAAAAGAAAAAAGAGAAAAAGAGAGAAAGATACAAAATAAAAAAGAATAATAAAATGAAATAAAATAAAGTAAAAAAAGAAAGAAGGAAACATCAGAATGAACGATCGGACAAGAAAAAAAGAGGAAAAAAGAAAAAAAAGAATAGAAAAAAAAGAAAAAGTACGTCTAATTTGTTCCCTCACAAAGAGATCGACAATTTGCGCCAACAAAGAGAGAGAGACAACAACGAGGGCTGAGAAAGTAGTATATATAAACGGGTTAGACTGCACGATGCGATTCGTGAATTCTCGGTAGGGTGGAAGGGCGGAAGGGATAAGGGCTGGTAAGGTAAGGTAGGGTAAGGTATGGTAGGGTGGGGCGGGGCGGGGCGGGGCGGCGACACAGACGAGGCTGCGCGTTTGTTCCTCTTGGGGCGATTCCGGACCATTCGCTTAATCGTTTCGTCGATTAATCACTAGATCACGTTTTAAACACCGTTTCGTTCTCGTTTGGATTCGTTAACGGTGAAAGTCTAAGCGAAGTGTTTTCTTTCTCGGAAAGTGTTCGCTCTTTTTTCTTTTATATATATATATATATATATATATATATATATATATATATATATATATAAAATCTTTCTTTTTTTGTCCTTTTTGCTGTATCTTTTTTTTTTTTGCTTTTTTCCCTTTTCGAATAACACAGCGATAATTTAACGACATAAACAAGGATTTTCATACATATACACACATATATATATATATGTATATATATACATATGTAAATGTATGCACGCATATATACATATATATAGGTAAATATACGCATATACATATATATATATATATATATATGCATATATGTATGTATAAATGTTTATATGCATTATCCTTCCTTCTTTTTCTTTTTTGGATTTTCTTTCTTATTATATCTTCTCCCAAGGAGGCCAAACTATGACGAAAAGTTCGCAATCAAAGAACGAACGAACGGACGAACGAACGAACGAACGAACATCGTCATTGTCATTGTCGTCTTCTCTTCGTCTTCTTCTTCGTCATGGTCGTCGTAGTCGTAGTCGTCGTCCGTCCTCTCCGTGTAGGCTTGTCACGTACACTACGTGTATACTACTTGCACCGTTAGGAGGAACTCTCTCCTCCCCACCAAGCGACTACTACTCCTTCGCGCCGTTCGGCACGCGTCGTTTCGTTGCTTTTTCTCTGTTCGTCGTTACTGACTTTCACGATCGCTACCTAAGTCGAGTCTCGTCGAGCATCATCTTCTCATGGCTCCTCGAAATAGGCCTTTCATTTATACTCTCTTTATTTCTCTCTCTCTCTCTCTCCTTTTCATTTTTTTCTTTCTCTATTAATCTCTCTTTCTCTCTCTCTCTCTCTCTCTCTCTCTCTCTCTCTCTCTCTGATCTTTAAAAGTAAATAGAAAACCAGATTAGATCATGCCCGTCCCATAATTCTTGTCCTCTTCACTCTTCCGCCTGTAATAAACTTCGAAAATCCTTTTGCAATTTCGACTCGTGATAACTCCAAATATCATTGAAATCTTCCTCGTCTTCCTCGACGAATATCGACTTGTCTTCCTCGATCGCATTTGTTGCCGACGGTGCATTTGGCGATGGAGAATAAAACTTGATTTCCAAGTCCCGATGACCGTTCGGCGAAGTAACAATTTCCGTGGAGACCTCGAGGCCCTTAGAAGAGGGCGAGCTAGCTGAATTACCCAAGTTACCGTTCGATGAAGATACGTTTGCTGTGCCGTTGGCCATGCCAGCGGATGCCGTCGTATCACCGTGCCAAAACGTTCCTCCGCAACGTTTGCCATTCTCCGATTGACCTCTGTCACCAATCACGCCGACGTCTCTACTGGGTGCGGTAATCTCTTCGCTGAAGTAACTAGTTGGATCGCTCCAGCTACGCCTTAGGATTACCGTGCTAGAGGCATCGCGTTCTGGTCGCGTTATACGCGAACATTCCGCGTCGAATAATCTCTCGATTGTTACTTGCTGCTGTTGGTGTTGATGTTGATGTTGGTGTTGGTGTTGATGTTGATGTTGATGTTGCTGGTGATGCTGATGTTGGTGTTGCTGTCGATCTTGACAACCGAGAGACGAGCCACGCGACAGAAACATCGTTGGTGCCTGTTGAGGATATTGGTGATTGGCAGGGCAAAAATCGTTACACGTTGGTGCGGTTAGATAAGGGGAATATCCGTTTTGATCTACGTCCCAAATTAATCCAGAAGGATCGCAATAACGACACTGACAAAGTCCCAATCCGTCGGTAAAACCGTCCTCGCAGGTTGCCGTTGCGTCGTTGTAATCCTGATGTATGTAACGAGACACAACGTTATTATTGTTATTATTGTTGTTGTTGCCGCTGTTGTTGTTGTTTTTGTTGTTGTTGTTGTTGTTGTTGCTAACTACGTGATGATGATGATGATGATGATGATGATGATGACTGTGCGGCCTATAAGCTTTCGACTGAATCGCTCGCATCGTGCCGGGCACGACGACGTTTCTGTTGTCGTCCAGCACTTTCACTTGCACGTGCCGATGCGCGTACCTCTGTTGCCTGATGTCGGCAATGGCCTGCACGGAGGACACCTGCGCTCGACAAGAGCCGTAAACACTTTCCCTACCGATCGGTGGTCTTCTGTGGTTTCTCTGTTGAGCCGATCCACTTTCGTATCTTTGATGATCGTAACAGCTAGACGATAGGTAAGGTTTAAACGGCATAACGACGCCTGATTGTTCGTTAACGGCGTTAGGACTCGTTCGTTGCTGCTGAGGTTCATCCGATTTCGTCGCCATTGCCGTCGTCGTCGTCGTCGTCGTCGTCGTCGTTGCCACCGCCGTTATCGTCGTTGTCGTCGTCGTTGTCGTCGAACTACCATCCGTCGATGACGTTGTTATCCCTCCATTCGGAGGTTTCCTATCCTTCTTTCTACGCTTCCGTGGTTTTATGATGCGGGGTAGACTATTCTCAGAATTGTTCGATCCGGAACTTTCATCGCTAGCGATACTCAACGAATCGATATTCGCAATATTTGTCCCCGTAGAATCTTTGGAGACGTTCGAACAATCCCCCTTTCCATTTCCTGTTTGAACCTTTTTCGTAGATTCCATTGGTCTCCTGGGTCGTGGTGGCGCTGGACATCGCGTAGGTCCGCTCGTTGAACCGTTCATCGTACTGTTCATCGTACCGTTCATCGAGTTCGCCGATGAGTTTCCATTAGTGTGAACGTAACCACCAACCGCGAGGCTGCTGCTGGGAACGCCGTTGCCGAGGCCGACGGCGTTGCCAGTGTGTATTTTTCCTCGATTGTGAAATCGACCGGCGAGAATCAACGGCGCTCCCTGCGTGTGAATGGCTAGTCTGGAGAGGGGACTTTTGTGCAGGTGTCCGTTCAGCTGCTGCTGCTGCTGCTGCTGCTGCTGTTGCTGCTGCTGCTGTTGCTGCTGCTGTTGTTGTTGTTGTTGCTCGCAAGCTTGCGATTGCTGTTGCTGGGACGATTGTTGATGCTGTTGCTGTTGTTGTCCCAACGAAGGTGACAAACCTTGATTACATCTACGAGGACTGGACGTCATCGAAATGAGTGGAGCACCTGCCCAACCACCGGAAACCGTGCCGTATTGCATTGAGCATTGCTCGCCGCCACTAGCGTAATTCTGTCCACCGTAACAGGCTTTAGTATTTTTCCCACGCAGATTGTTTTGATCCTGTTTCTTTCCAAGGATCGCCTTGTGCGTTCCGTTTCGAACGTTCGACGATATCAAACAGCTACCGATGTAACGCTCCACCTCCAGGGTGCCCTGAGAGCCCGGGCTCATCTTACAATAATAGACTACTTATCGAACCTTATCACCCTTATTCACCAATTCCTCAAGGATATTAGCTCAGGATCGGACACATCGGATTCACGTCTTCTTAAAAACAAAGAAAAAAAAAAAAAGGAAAAGAAAACGAAGAAAAAAAAGAATCTCGATCCCCCCCCCTTTTGTTTTTTTATTTCTTTTCGTTATATATTTTTCTCTTTCGATCACCGGAGGAATAAACGATCACAGAACACTCAACACCACTGACCCAGTTTCTTCGAACGCGTCTTTCCTCTCGGCATCTCCACGAGCCAAGTGTACTCGATCTAGCCCATGATGCATGTGTCCCCGATAATATATACTCGATCACTCCGATCGAAATGATCTTCGATGAGTGTAGAAAGAAATCGATGAAATACGAAAGAAAAAAAAAAGAGATAGGAAGAGAGACAAAAACAGAGACAATAGAGAGAAATATAGAGAAAGTGTGTATGGGATGCGTGCGCGTTTATATATCGTCCACCGATCGCGAAAATACTCGAAAGAGTTCGAGAACGTGGACAGGGATATCTCGACACGAGTCTCGTTCTACGACCGTACGAAGCCACGGCTGGAACGACACTGAGAGACTAGCTCGGTCGAGCGCGCCTACACCGTCTCTCTCTCTTTCGAGTCTCTGCGACGTGGAGGTCTCCCCACCCCTAACTTGAACACCAGCACCAGCACCACCACCACCACCACCACCACCACCACCACCACCGCCGCCGCCAGCACCGCCAGCACCACCACCGCCAGCACCACCACCACCACCACCGCCACCACCACCACCATCGCCACCAGCAGCAGCAGCAGCAGCAGCAGCAGTACCTCTACTCTACTGCCGCCACTGCCACCGCCTCCTCCTTTACTTCATGACGATACAGCGGCTCGACGAAACTTCATGGTATATAACTTATGTATGTGGATATATGTATTTATATAGATATATATATATGTGTGTATAAATATATATATATATATATATATGTATGCATGTATATATCTATACATATATACAGAAAATGTCGTTCTTCCTCCGGATGACAGCGTCACAATTTAGCAAGCTATCGGAGAAAGCCGGCCATGGATACAACGACGAAATATATATATATATATATATATATATATATATATATATATGTGTGTGTGTGTATGTATATACATACGCATATACATATATATCGTAACTACACCTACATCTTTCGCGAGACGAATTTGTTCCAGTCGAAACGGCTTTGACTTTCGACGCGTCAACGAAAGATAAACTCAAGTATGCTTTTCCTTTCGTAGGGAAAAAACTCGTAAAAAAGCTGCAGGGTTAGCGATAAGAAGTCGACGATTGAGTTTGATAGTAAGGAAAGGGGGAAGAAGAATATTTGCTTGCTTCCTTGCTTGCCTTTGCTCTATGCGAGACTCGAGGCTATTGTTTGCGTTCCGTGCGATTACTTTTAATAAATTCGACGACCGGGAGGTCTGCGTCCGATCTATGGAGAACGAAAGGAAATACAGATAGAAGAAAGAGAAAGAGAAAAAGAAAGAGAAGAAATAGATTTTGCTTTGTTATACATTTTCTGTTCACCCTGTCTCTCTCTCTCTCTCTCTCTCTCTCTCTCCTTCTCTTCATTCCTCTTTACTTTACGCCCTCTCTCTCTCCTAGTTTTTCGATCGTGTTTCCAATTTATTCCAACGATAGGACGTGTATCATCGTCTCTTCCGCGCAAATTTCCATTCTAGTATCATCGGATCTTGCCGTGTATATGACAGAAAGAAAAAAAAAAAAGAAAAGAAAAAAAAAGAAAACAAGAAAGAAAAAACAAACAAAAAAAATTTGAAGTAATACCTCTCGATGGCACTCGGAAACTAGTAGTACGATAATGACGAGAAAGCTCGTCATGCTGGGACGACTTCGGGTTCTCTACTTTGCTCGATGCGATTGGTAAATAGTGACTTTCAAGCCGGTTGCGCAGTCCTGTGATGTTTGCGACGGGAACGCTAACAATAAGACAAACTCTAACTTGAAATTACGTTGAGTACGGGAAAGGAAAGTAGAGAGAGAGAGAAAGAGATAGAGCGAGAGAAAGAGAGAGAAAGAGAGAGAGAGAGAGAGAGAGAGAGAGAGAGAGAGAGAGAGAGAGAGAGAGAGAGAGATATCAAACCGAAGTGACCAAGTGATCTCACTGGATTCGAATGTAATGACTAATCTATTAACAATGATAACAATATTTTTCTTTGACATCGATCGATCGATCGATCGATTGATCCGAGCAGATCGAACCTAAGCATGGATTATAATCCATGAATTATTATGTTTCAGTTTAACGTTAGTACGAACTAACGAGGAAGCGTCGAGAGAAGAGAAAGGTGAGTGAAGGAAGAGAGAGAGAGAGAGAAAGAGAGATGGAGAGGGAGGGAGAAGATGGAAAAGAAAAGAAAGAAGGAAGAAGGAAGAATGAAAAGAACGATATCTTTGATCGTGGCATGGCACCCTCCCATCGAGGCCACGAGTCTTAAAAGTAGGTCACAAGTCATCAATCGCTCGCGGCACGATACGAAACGATCCCAGAATATTCGCACCACTAGCATCTTTAGTTTCTCATATCACAATGAACCTAGGCTTTCTCAACAATGCATCTATATTCTCTCTCTCTCTTTCTCTCTCTCTCTCTCTCTCTCTCTCTCTCTCTCTCTCTCTCTTTCTCCTTGCACGGTGGATCATAGAAAAAAAAAAAAAAAAAAAAAAAAAATAACAAATAAATAAATAAAAGAGAAAAAAGGGAGAAAAAAACTTTTTCGGTCTTTCATTTATTTTTTTTTCCCCCTTTTTTTTTCCTTTTTTCTTTTTCCCTCACGTTGATCTCCAATGGATCAATGATGACTCGTCCGTTCGATTAAAATATAAATCATTTTATCGCTCGGTATAATCCACGAGAAGAGCTGGCTATTCACGAAATCACTCGATGCGGAGCGACGCGGAACGGCTGCGTTTCCGGACTCACGATCGCCGTAATAGGATCGTTGCCTTCGCGAGAATGACTCGCGATAAATATTGTCTCGCCGATGACGTTCCAAAGAGATTCAATTGCATCGAAAAACGGGGCTAACGATGGCTACCAGCAGCAATGACGTATATACATATATACATACAAGTATGCATGCATACATACATACATACATACATACATACATACATACATACATACATACATACATACATACATTCATATATTCATCTAGCTACGTACTATAAGCGAACGCTCGCTTGCTCGCTCGCTCGCTCGCTCGCTCGCTTGCTCGTGGTTATCGTCGACGTGGTTACTACGATCATTCGCGCTTTATCGATCTATTCGATCTTCCAACGACACGTACCGTTAGTAATTGTTGCAAGCTCATTTTTACGTTACGCTTTACGCGATCCGCATAGTACGATAACGCGTTTTGCGATTGTGTTCCAATTTTATCGCATGGTATCCCATTGTTGTTAAACCATTGCCGGTTTGACGAAACTATGAAAAGAATGTTGGCCATCCTTTTATCAAAACGATCCCAACGTGAAATCATCGAAACATGAATCTCTCAAAAACCCAACGAATAATCAAAAAGTATTATGATATTCTAATCTATGATAATAATTATTCATTCCCTTATCACCGATTGAGAATATCAATGACGAGCGATGAAAATAAGTCTTACGAACGTTGCAAAAAAAAAGAAAAAAAAAAAAAACGAAGACAAGATAAAAAAAAAAAAAGAAATTCACCTGTCGAAACCTATTTTTTACCCGTTCTTACGTCGTTTTTTCTTTTTTTTTTATTTCTTCTTCTTTTTTTTTTTCCTTTTTTTTTTCCTTAATTCGTCAGAAAATTGCACGAACATTTGTTATAATAAATCTACGTAGCAGGCTATCCATCCCATTTTTTTTTCCAAGCCGTTTTCAAACCCCCACCATCCATGAATGGTAGTGGTGGTGGTGGTTCCCTTGCGGGCGACCGATTATTACACCGGCTTGGCAATAACTTTTCCTAGAAGGTATCCATTACCGTGATTGTTCGCAAGTTTATGGTCGACGTTCTATGGTGCAACTGCCTGCGAATACTCTCAAGAAGAAGGAAAGGAAATAAGGGAAAAGAGGGAGAAAGAGAGAGAGAGAGAGAGAGAGAGAGAGAGAGAGAGAAAGAGACAGAGAAAGACAGAAAGAGAGAGATAGAGAAAGAATAAGAGAGAGAGAGAGAGAGAGAGAGAGAAACGTGAACGTATTTCGTTTTCCGTCGTCGTCTTCGTCCTAGAAAGCGTTAATCGTTAAACGAGATAGCTAGAGAGAAAGATATATATATATATATATATATATATATAGAAAGAGAGATAGAGAGAGAGAAGGAAAGGAAGAAAAGAGAAAGGCGAGCGGTCGATGGACGGTGGTAAAATGAAAAAAGTGCGCGGCAAGGTGTCGTGTCGTTTAAATTCTTCTCTGGCCTAGAAAAAAAAAAGAAAAGAGAAAGAGAAAGAGAAAGAGAAAGAGAAAGAGAAAGAGTTGAATGCGGAAGGATTCACCGTCGAAGATCGGACGGATTTCGCGCGGTATTACTCGTCGACTCAAACTGTCAGCTGACAGTCCGATAATTGCACGAACTCCGATGCTATATACATCGACTTGGACAGATCGAGAGAGAGAGAGAGAGAGAGAGAGAGAGAGAGATATTGCAGTTTTTTCGCTGAAATCGGAGAGACATAAATTAAATAAGAGCAAAACGCGCAACCAGAGAGATTCGATTTAATGAATATTTCCAGTCCGCTCGACATTTTGGCACGTTCAATTGGGCTGCCGTAATGCGGATGCAGACCGCTCATATCACGAATCATCCATCTAACTCGTTGGTTGGATGGTCGGAGCCAATGTTGTTAGCACTTTTTCGATGCGTCCAAAAGTGTTCGAAAGTGTTAAATATTTTCGATATGAATTATTATCGAGTGAATGAAAAAGAAAAAGAAAAAAAAGAAAAAAAAAGAAGAAAAAGAAACAAAAATGATTCAGTAGATTTAACGTTAATATCGTAAACGTAATAAGAAAAGTAAGAAATGTTCTTTATTATTCCTTAATTCCTTGGAGTTATTTTTTGTATTTCTTTTTTTCTTTCATTTAGCTCGAAGAAAGAAGAAAGACTAATCCGCGAGAAGGAAGAAAGTAAGTAAGTAAGTAAGTAAGTAAGTAAGTAAGTAAGTAAGTAAGTAAGTAAGTAATTTCGAGGTGAAGTTGGCGCGGACTCGAAACACTCGTCTCTAGTCTTGGTTTGCTTCTCCCAGGCGTCGAATTCGCCACTTTTCCAAAGTTCTACGTGGAGAAACAAAAAGCGTGTTTCCCCACGGGGTATTAGCCGACCGATTGGCAAAGATCCCAAGTTGGCGCTAACGAACGCGAACCGAAACCGGGCTGCCAGGATATACGAGTGTTCCGTAATCGCAACGGTACTATGGATAACGCTTGACGAAGGATAAATAGCCTAAACCAGTAACTCGAGCTCGATACTTCGGGGAGGATGGTGATGCTGGTGGTGGTGCTGGTGGTGGTGCTGGTGGTGGTATCGTTTGCTGTTGACTCGCTACTGGGTGCTTTTACATGTTCTATTTACATCGATTTCGTAGCAACGGAAACACGACCAACGCGATTCTGCGCAGTCGGGTAAACGCGTGTCACGTTGTTGAATCTACGGGAAAAGAGTGAAAGAAGAAAAAGACAGACAGACTGTCTGACAGACAGGGAAAAGAGGGGGGAGAGAGAAGAGAGAAAACGATTTACGTTCGAAATTTGTTCAATCCTCTCGTCTACAACTACCATCGCCATCAGCACTACCACCTTTCCATGTGGTGCATGAGAATTCGTTTTCTCTATCCTTTCTCTATCCTTTCGAAAGAATTGATCGAGGGAATTGGTTCGTCGTCGGTTCTACGATTACCTCGTCTGTCCTTCTGTCGACATGAATATCAGATTCCCTTCAGCGGTGGCTCTCTTAATCCAACCAAAATGGAAGAGCTATTCGACGAAATAAGAGTCTTTACAGAGCTGTGAGCATTCGATATGGAAAGAAATATATATATATATATATATATATAGATATAGATATAGATAGATAGATAGATAAAGAGATAAAGAGAGAGAGAGAGAGAGAGAGAGAGAGAGAGAGAGAGAGAGAAAAGGACAAAGAAAGATAATCTTCTTTTCGTTTCTCTGAATAAAATGTTCGTCGATAAATTAAACGTCCAAATGTGGCATAAAAAAAATACTCATGTCCTTGTCACGATCTTTACCCTTTTAAAATGATGAAACATTTATTGTCATACGCAAGGGAACGTGATGAATATAACAAATATACACGTATCCCTTTCTATACTATATAACGTTTCATATCCGTGTACGCACCTACTACTGTTGGTTCAGAATGTATCCAGAGATACACGTCGTATGGGGACGTCCATCGTACGTAGGAGCTTTGCCCGAAGGGCGAAACCCGTCGTCAACGTGGAATGACGTGCAGTAACGCGACGAGGGAATCGAGACATTGACGCGCCATAGGGACATTCTAGGGAACATTCTGGGGAACATTCCTGCGTGTCCGTTCTACATAGAGTGGATCGCTCGACCACCGCCAACAACCACCCAACCTCCCCACCCATACCTCCCTTCGATTTATCTCTCCTTCTCTCTGTCTATCTATCTATCTATCTCTATCTCTCTCTATCCTCGCACAGACCTTGCGGAAGCCTACAATCACGTTGGTTAATCAATGCCGACCAATTATCACGGCGGAAGATTTGATTTCCCATCGGTACTACCTTCTCTCCGCACCCCCTCCCCGACCACTATAACACGTCGATATATAGAACGTGCGACTCTACGTGAAAATAGAAAATTCTTCTCGACCAGCTTGAAATCAATTTTCTCCTTTAACGCCCGCCTCGTCTCGGTCCAATAAACATTTCTTCTTTTTTCTTCTTCTTCCTCGTATTTTTTTCTTTTTTTTTTCTTTTTTCTTCTTTTTCTTTTTCTTTTTTTTCTTTTTTCCCCCTTTTTCGTTACTATCAAACGATCAAAGATCACGAGATACGCGATAAAAATTGAATTGCATTAGCGTCGAATGAAAAGTATCCGTTTGTTTTTCTTTTCTTTTCTTTTCTTTTCTTTTTTTTGTTTCTTCTTTTCGTCTTTCGCGACGTTCTTTAATTTGTAAAAATATCGTTTACTCCGTCAACGTTTCTCCATCATTTTATTGATGTTCAAAAAGTAAATCGTAAAAGTGACGATTCACTTTTACGACGTAGTTGTTTTATAAGGGGCAAAAAAGAAGAAAAGAGAACAAGAAGAAGAAGAAGAAGAAAAAAAAAAAGAGAAAAAGAAGAGAGAGAGAGAGAGAGAGGGAGGGAAAAAAAAAGAAATTTACAGGACAGTGAGAAAGTGGAAATTTTACTATGTCGGATATTACAAGGCAAGATGGAAGAAGAGGAGAGTCGGCCCCGTTAGCGTCGTATGCCGAATTAAAGTACCAAGAAAGGTTGGAAAAGGAAAACCAGCGAGAAACATAAAGGGAGAAAGATAGACAGAGGAAAAGAGAAAGAGAAAGAGAGAGAGAGAGAGAGAGAGAGAGAGAGGAAGAAAGGAAATAGGAAAAAGGAGAAAAGGGGAAGAAACCGTGCGGAAAAGCGACCATTAAACGTTTGTAACTTCACTTCGTACGTGCCGTGGGATAGCTGTGGTACTTTCTGAGAGGGATATATATATATATATATATATATATATATATATATGTATATGTATCCCTCTCAGAAATATATATATATATATATAGAAAGAGAGGAAGATATAGAGAAGGGAACAAGTAAGATGCTTTAAGCGCGGAACTTTTTTATCGGAAGAGAGAACTGCGTTCGATTTGCTCTCCCAAGCTCCGGCTTAATGAAATTGCTAAATCTACCGTTATTTACCGGCACACCACGCTACGATGATATTTATCTCTCCCATATTTCGTCGTGGCCAGTACGAAAAAGCACCCTTCTTCTTCTCTTCCTACTCTTTTCTTACTCTTTCTCCTCTTCTTCCTCTTCCTCCTCCTCCTCCTTCTCCGTCTCCTTTTCCTCCTTCTTTTCCTTCTTCTCCGTTTCTTTCTTTCTTCTTCCTTTTCGTCTTTTTCTTTTTCTTCATCTTCTTCTTCTTCTTCTTCTTCTTCTTCTTCTTCTTCTTCTTCTTCTACGTCGTCTATCCCTTTTCTATCCTTCCATAGTCAGCCAATATCCATCGTTCGATACTAATACGAATACCGGTTTCCCATTTTTCTTTCGCTAAAACCTATCGTCAGCTCGAAGAATTACGACTGGTGAAGGGAGAGAGAAAGAGAGACAGAGAGAGAAAGAGAGGAGAGACTTGGTCATTTTTATCCAGAGACGAGGAGCACGTCGAAATCGATTGGAAATAACGTGAACGGTTATGAGCGATAATTAATGAACGACCTCGGTGGTCACAGTCCGCTTCGATTGCAAACGAGATACCGTATGTTCGATTAATAAATTCCAACATGTGACTGATGGAACGGATGACATTGCGAAAAGGTGATTTGTTCTTTTTTTTTTTTTTTCTTTTTTTTCTTTTCTCCTCATTTCTCTTTTTCTCTCTTTTTTTCTCTTTTGATACAGATATTATGTCGCAAGATTATGCGTATTGAAAAATAAAGAGTGAACTTCTTCAATTTACTTTTTTTTTATCATCGTCCCCCTCCTTCTTCTCTTCTTCTCTTCTCTTTCTTCCTTCCTTCCTTCCTTCCCTGTTAGGATTCTAAGAAGTAAATAATTCAAGATCTCGTTTCCCTTTCTTTATCCATCTCTTTCTTCCGACTCTTTCATTATATCTCAACCGCGACGAGTATCATTACGTTATCCATACTCTTTTTTTTTTCTCTCTCCCCGCTCCTATTTCTTCGTGAAATTTTATCTCGTTCGAGAGAGAGAGAGAGAGAGAGAGAGAGAGAGAGACCGCCGCTTCTAATGCCGTCCTAATTCCGGTTAACGAGTCGAGAACAGCATCTTCTTCGTTTGGCGGCGAAAAGAGACCGCATGCATTTGTATCGTGTTATAAAGAGAGACAGAGAGAGAGAGAGAGAGAGAGAGAGAGAGAGAGAGAGAAAATAAAAAAAAATGAAAAAGCAAGAGGACGAGCAAAAAAATAAAAATAAAAAAAGAAAGAAAATAAGATATATAATACAACTGGTATCTCTCATAAAAAAAAAAAAAATATACAGACACATATACGCATACACAATACACGAAAATCATGGAGATATTACTCGAAGGTTAAGATTTTAATGAACTTTTATATTTTACCTATCGGTTTAATGAAAAAGAAAATATAATATCCATGAGAACCTATAAATTCTCTCTAGAGCGTATTTGTTACTATTGATCGATTGATCGATCGATCTAACCGATCTAATCGATCTAACCGATCGATCGATCGATCGATCGATCGATCGGCACATGTAAAAGAATGTCAATTTCCAATCGGCGATATAATGATCGGATGACCGTAAGCAGAAATAGAAATTAATTATTCGAACGTCTTTCCTCATCGTGTCCACGAGTTGACTGACCAGATACTATCGTCTCACCCCGCGCCTCTACTAAACCCCCGTTCTACCATTTCTCCTACCCAACGACCCCACCCAGAGGTCAAGAAAGATCATCGTATACGATTATTGATCGAACCGTACACAGAGTTACGCAGGTGCGTGACGACTTCGTCGAGACGTTGCGAATGACGGTGCCTGCACCTAAGAAACTATTGCCGTGATATCCATTAAGCGGGGAATAATCCGATAGCTTTTAAAACGAACAACAAATTCTATTTCATTATTCTCATACTTACTATTTTTCAACGTCGAAAGAAAAGAGAAAAGGAAAAAAAAAATACGATCGGTCCTACGCTTTATAATAGCTTTACTTTTTCGCTTACCTGAAACAAACGGAAAGAAAAAAAAAAATAAATAAATAAATTAACGACGAGAACGCCGGCCAATTATATATTTCTTCTAATTAAATAATAACAATAATAAAAATAATAATAATAATAATAATAATAATAATAATAATAATAATAATAATAATAATAATAATAATAATAATAATAATAATATTAATGATAATGATAATAAAAATAAAAATAAAAATAATAATAACAATAACATTAATATTAATTACGCGATAAGCACTGATAAAAGATGTAGTACGTAAATTGTCCTTAAAAGGGATCAACTATCACATATAAAAATGAATTCATTAGAAACGATTCAAATTTGTACTTAAATGGTACATAGAAAAAGATCGAGAGAGAGAGAGAGAGAGAGAGAGAGAGAGAAAGAGAGAACAGAGAAAGAGGAAAAAAGAACAGAGAAGAGGGTAGAGAGAAAAAGAGAGAGAGAGAGAAATCTCCAGTTCCGGATAAAAGTCACTCGCACGGAAAATCGCGGTGTCCCAGTGAACGAATAAAGTGAGATACTAAAAAGAGAGAATAAAAAGAGAGAAAGTAAGAGAAAGAGAGAGAAAGAGAAAGAGAGAGAGAGAGAGAGAAAGAGAAAGAGCTTCGAAAGAGGTTTGCTCGAAACTCGGTGTACGTTCGCGGATCGCGATGTGCCGAGGGGTGAGAAGCACGATACAGACTATTAAGCGTATGCAAAGCAAAGTTAATTTCATTGAACTTCCCAGAGGCGATGGCGATGGCAATGGGAGATGGTGGTAGTAGAGATAGTGGTTGTAGTGGTACAAAGTTTTACAACGGCCGCCATGAAATGTGGGGGTTTAAACGGCTGGCAGGAGAATACATAATGAGGATGAGAAAACTATACTAACGGTTGGGGGAAGTAAAATACCTAAGGGCTGTGCACCGTCGACATTTAACTCGTCGGATAAAGGACTTGGTCGCGTGCCTTTTGTCTCTCTCTCTCTCTCTCTTTCTCTCGCTCCCTCTCTCTCTTTTTTTTTTTTTTTTTTTTTTTTTTTTTAATAAATATTAAAGATGCTCCTATCTCTTTGTTTACCTCATTCACAATAATAACTCGAATAAACTCTATAAACTTCTAAGAATAATCTAGCAAACAAATCCTTATGTTCGACCAATATACGATTTATATATAATCGAAATATTGTAGTTTAAAGGAGGTAAAATAAGAAAACGACTGGCCTTTATTTTACGTACTTATGCAAAAGACATATATATATATATATATATATATATATATATACATGTGTGTGTGTGTGTGTGTGTACACACGTAACATAAATGGCTGATACGTTTATGTAATACCTAGAGAGTCATAGTAGGTACATGTCTGGATTGAAGAGAAACGAAAAAGAGGATAAAAAAGAGGATGAAAAAGGATGCGACCACGTAAAAAGCGATGGTCTCTTAGAGCCGGTACTTGTATAAACTTCGATCCCGGGACGTCGTAAATCGAAAACTCGCAGACAGTTTAACGCATCGCGGCTGCTTTTCCATATCGGGCTTCGCACTTTATGGTCCAGCAGTACTTCTCTTCTTCTTCTTCTTCTTCTTCTTTTTCTTTTTTCTTTTTTCTTTTCTTTTCTCTTCTTGCTAACGCACTAGCTGCGGTGCTTTATTCTCTTCCTTTACTTTCTACCTACCTATCTATCTACCTACCTACCTACCTACCTACCTAGCTACCTAGCTACCTACCTACCTACATACCTACCAACGTTTATTTAATGTTATGGAAAGACATTGTGCTAGAGCGACACAGCTGTTTGTTACCTTTCAGTTTGAATACTTCCTGCTTGAATTTGTTTGTTCCATAGGAAGCAGAAGAAGAAGAAGAAGAAGAAGAAGAAAAAGAAGAAAAATAAGAAGACGAAGAAGAGGAAGAACAACAGAATAACGACAAAGGCAACGACGATGATGATGATGATGATGATGATGATGATGATGATGATGATGATGATGATGATGATGATGATGATGATGATGATGATGATGATAAAGATTAAGAAACATGACATTGCTTAGAAAAGTAATTACAATTAACGTTCATGTGAACGACACGCTAATCTTTCAAACATAAATCTTTATAATAACATAATAAAAAGAATCGTGCTCATTGCTAATTTTCATTTGAATTTTACGCAAGAGAAAATGATAAAAATTCTTTGTGCTTTTCAACAAAGATATCTAACTATTATCACTATTACTACTACTACTACTAACTACTACTACTACTATTACTACTACCACCACCATCACCATTGCAAAAAGCCGAATCACGTTTGTAACACCAAAGTGGTGAAAACAAACGAGATAGGTGTGAGAGTGGCGAAGGGAGGGGGAATAGAGAGGGGTAAGCCCGGCTACCGACAAATAAGCGAAAAGAGGGTGAGTCGTAATTAGCACGAACAATGGAACTACATTCATCCTAAGGTTCCAAGCCTGCAAACAGGAATTAACGATCGGGTCCTTTCTCTCTTCTGGTCCATCTATTCATGCCTTCGACCCTTGTCCCTCCCTATTACTACTTTTCCTTCGTCTTTTTCTTTTTTATCATGGTCCAGTAACAGCACCCTTGTGTACACTACTGTTCTCGACGTAGAGTTCTTCAAAAGAGAGAAAGGAACGAAACGAAACGAAACGAAACGAAAAAAAAAAGAAAACGAAAAAGAAAAAGATTTCGTATCGTCTCGAGTCCGAACTGAAATTGGATGGTAACGGAAAGAGAGAGAGAGAGATGGAGGGAGGGAGGGAGGGAGAGAGAGAGAGAGAGAGAGAGAGAGAGAGGGAGAGAGAAAGAGAAAGTAAAACGGAGATGAGTGAGCGGAAAAAGTGGGGTTGGTTGCAGAACGGGGAAAAAGGGTGAATGCTCTTGATTTTACCAGAAATCTCGAATAGTCTTCGATGAAGAAAAGTCTAGAGATTCGAGCGGGTTAGCAACCCTTAAGGCTTGTTACCTATGAGTCACGTACCATACTCAAGAAAGTAGTCCGTCTGTGTGTTTATACGTCCGAGAGGAAAATAACTGGTGGAATCTCTTTCAGAAAACGTGCCCTAATCGATTTAATCTACT